CCGGATTTTTATGAGCAGCTTTTGGTCTGAATTTTTTAAGCTGCAAGGGACCAAGTTATCTATGAGCTCAGCCTACCACCCGCAGACGGACGGACAAACCGAGGTAACTAACCGAACTCTCGAGCAGTACTTAAGGTGCTATGTCCATCAATTTCTGAAAAGGTGGAAAATTTCTTGCCATGGGCCGAGTATTGGTATAACACCACTTACCACGAGTCAACCAAGATGACGCCGTTTGAGCTGGTATACGGACGCAAACCCCCAACGTTGATCAACTATTTGGAGGAAAGTACGTTCAACGATGAGGTAGGACGAGAACTCGAGGAGCGAGATCTAATGTTGAGAGAGCTGAAGAAAAATATTGAAGGTTCGATTAACCGAACCAAGGCCTTCGCTGATGGGAAGAGGCGAGAGGAAAATTTTGTACCCGAAGAATACGTCTATCTTAAGCTACGACCATTCAGACAGCGCACAACAGCACAGAGGGCCGCAACTAAGCTGGGCGTTCGTTATTATGGGCCATATCAGATTCTAAAGCGCATTGGTCAGGTAGCTTATCGTCTAGAGCTACCGGAGAACTCACAAATCCACCCAGTTATCCATGTCTCGCAACTCAAGAGAAGTCTGGGAGAAGCACAGAAATATTGTGAGGAGTTACCAGCAACTGCAACCGATGGAAGGGCCATAGTACGTCAAAGACGAGCAGTTGAGTATCGAAAGGTAAAAAGAGCAGGGCGTTACCGTTGGGAAGTGCTAGTTGACTGGGAAGAGCTTCCAACTGAAGAAGCCACGTGGGAAGATCTTGAAGAGATGCGCGATCAGTTTCCGAACTTCATCCTTGAGGACAAGGATTCACTTGAAGGGGACGGGAATGATGCGGAAGTGGCTAGGCAACTCAAGAACGCTGCGAGCCGGGCATATCATGCGCGCAAGAGGGCGGCCCGAGAGACGGCGAAAGTACGCGCACTGGAGCGTAGTGCGTGCGAGACGGGCGAAGATGGGCTGCACACAGATGTGCGGGCGGAGTGCGCGGATGGCAGAGGTGGCATAGGTGGGCAGGACGTGCGTAGCGCGGGATCGTTGGACGCGCGCGCGGAAAGGTCGGGCGCGGGGGAGGCGCACACAGCACACGAGGCCACAAGCCTCGAGGCATGCGGAAAGGCGGGGCAGCACGCGCGCGGAGAAGTAACTGGGGCCAAAGGCGTGCGCAACACGGCCGATGGGGAAGGACGCGCGGGGCGCGATGCCGCAGTCCTTGAGGAGTGCGGATTGATGGGTGACCACGCGCGAAGGGGCGGCATAGGCAGCGTTGGCGTGGGCGGCATGGTGGGCGCCACTGCACGCGCGCATTGAGGCGGCGCGCCCTAGTCCCGCAAGGACTAGGCGACGCGGGTGGTTAGCCGTAAGGCGGTCGTGTGCGAAGGGCCGAAGAGAGAAGGTTGGAAGACTTGGTGTGCAAGCCAAGATATTTAGTTCCCTTATTTCATAATGAGATCTAGTTTAATTAGGATAGTTAATATTTTATTGCTTCCTTAGAGTTATAGTTATATTAGGATTAGATCTATTTGGTGCCTATATAAAGGACCATCCCCTCATGTTATTTTTATCATCCAAGAATTAATAAGAACTCAAGAACTTTTGTTCATCTTCTTTTCTTTAGTTTTTCACCAAAATTCTATAGCAATTATATCGTTTAGAGGGGTGCGGTTTGTGAACCTCTAGGCACTATCGGCGATTCAAGGCACTGGTTGTGGCTTATCGGC